AAATAAAAAAAAAAGATTGAACCCCAACCTTAAGGGCCCCCACCGACCCTATCCTGGGCCATCGTGGAGGAGGTAAATCGCAGGATGTGCCTCCCAGGAGTCAGGGTGGAGAGCACATGGATAGGCCAAGGCTGTTAACCCATATGGTAACTCCTGCTTGCAACAAAGTCAATTCCACCTTGCGGGGAATCGAACTCTGCACACTGTCGCGCTGAGCCCTATCTGCCCTCCCCTTTGCCACTGGGAGATATGCCCTGGGGGCATTCAAATGTCTTTATCATAACATCTACTATTGGTGGTGAACATTGCATAAGACATGTCAAGTAAGTCGAGATGACCTGTTTAAAGGTTCATAAATGATATACGATTTAGACATATTAAAGGACAAAGTTAGAACTAAACTAAAAAAATCTTTTAAACATAATTAATACCTACATAAAATTTTCACATAAAAAGTAACTCGGTTGGGTCTAGCTTGGCCCCTAAATCCATCCCTGGTGTGTCAAGATTCTATAAGCTCAGCCTTGTTAAATAACATTTAATTTACCAGATAGACGATAATTTTTAAAGTTGAATGCATGAACTACCAATTTATGAAGCCCTTGTTTAGTTTGGATAAAATTTAGATTTTTAGTAGATTTTAATAAAAATTGATAAAATGTGTATTGAAAAATTGATAAAAATTACGAGTCCTATAAAATGTGTGATTAAAATTGAGTTTAAATAAAAATAATTCTTAAAAAATGAAGGCCAAACATGGACGAAGCTTTTTAGTATGTACCAAAGGAGGTCTAGGCCATGTTGGCAACCAGGTTTTGATGGTGCAATCTCATCTTACATTTCCAGGGATAGTTTGTTACATCGAGCTTATTTGGCTAATTATAAAAGTTCACTTATAAGTAAATAAGTTAGTTTTTTAGAAAAATAAAAAGTTTGGGTTTTTAAGGTAAATTACCTGGATTGGGCTTAAACAGTTTGTGATTAAGCGAGACTGGATCACATAATGGGCCTGAACCAAAATTACATCATCTGGGCATAGGGAAGAGTTCATAAATCAGGTGTTAACTATGCCCAATTCAAAATTCAAAATCCAAGTTACATCAAAATTCAAAATCCAAGTTACAAGTTTCTTTAGTGGAAAAATCAGGTTTTAGTTAATTAATTAAAAATAGTTATTAAATAATGATAATAAAGCCACTGTTATACTATTCATGGTTACATATTCACAATTATAGGTCACATATTTTATTTATTGGTCAAATATTATCAAATTAATTGGTCACAGACTTTTTCGAGGTCACAAATCACAATTTTGATAAGTTACAGATTATGTCGAGGTTACAGATCAAAAAATTATAGGTCACAAATCCAAAAAATTATAGTCACATGTTACATATTTTCAAATTTAATAGTCACATATTACTTTTTTTAGTCACAGATGATTGAATTTTAAAGTCACAAGTCAACTAGTCAGTCACCACCAACTCCATTGCTACCACCGTCACTTGCAACCACCCTCACCCCGTCGCCACCGCCAACACCAACATCAACAAAATCGACGCAACTAGATCCACCGTCGCTACCAAGCACACCAAAAAAACCACCACCACCCGAATTTTAAAGTCACAGGCCAACATCACCACCACCACCACACCAAACCGCCACCACCACCACCAACATGAAAAATACCACCACCAAGTCACGGCGATTGCAATGTCATTCTCACCAAACCACACATTTTTTCTCGCATTGCCGATAGAGAGAAGGACGCACGACTTCTTTGTAGATCACGTGCAGCGCCGCCAACCACGCACATCCACCACCAGAAAGATCGTCGCCTGCACTATCATCACAGCCACTACTTACATCGCACTACAATACAGTCGCTGCACCACACCACAACCACTGCCTGCACACAGACGCCACCACACCACACAAGCCACCATCCAAAACCACCCCAACCACCAAATCCACCATACAACCACAAAAACGCTACCATACAAACACCACTACACAAACACCATCACACAAACCACCTCCAAAACCACCCCCAACCGCCAAATCCACTATACAACGCTGCTTCTACTTCTCGTGTTGGTTGTGGTGCTTCGCCTGTGAAGAGTCGTCTAAGTAAGTGAGTGGATTTGTTTCTCGGTGGCAACTCACGGTGATTCACACAAACCTATTGCGCTACGTGGTAAAGATCGCTGCGGTGTTGCTTACGTGGTGGCGACGGCACGATGTCATCAATTGAAATGAAATGGGTAAGGTCTCTAGTGGCGAGTGCTCCGGCAGCGGCGTAGCACAGGGACAAGAAGAGATGGGAAAGATGGAGAGTGAGGGAGAGAGAGAATAAAACTAGGGTTGGAATTGAATTAGGGGTAATATTTATTATATTCATAACTAATTTTTGAATAATGAAACTTGGTCCCTTATTTTTGAATTCTAATCTTTAAACATCTTGGAATTATGTAATTTCCACGTGGGCATATTCATCCTCCAGAGGCTGAACATTATGTAAGTTTCGTTGGTTGCAGTTTCACTGGTCGATAAATTGTCTCACAGAAGTTTGCTGCGAACCTCACCAGCTCCACCACCGGTTTCTGTGGACGATAGACTAGTGGATCAGAAGGTCATTGATCAGTTATTGAAGATTTCTTGCTGCAAAGGGTTGATGACATTGTTAATAATTGTGGATTTTGCATTGTCTTTTGGTTTGCTGAAATCGATTGAAATTTTGTTTTGTGTATTGGATTGATTGAAATTGTGGTTCTCTTTGAGTTGAGATCTGATAATTTTTACTGAAAAAATAAATTTATTCTGAATAATTTTAACTCATCTGGTGAAGTTACGTGTTTTTCTTATAGTTATTAGTTAGTTTTAGGCTCCCTTATAGTATGTGATTCAAATTGGTTCTATGTGGAATGGAATGGGATTCTTTTTGTTTTAGCCAGTTTTTAATATCTTATTTCATCTACAAGTTTTACAGGTGTTCAGCATAAAAATACATGGATTGATGTAAATAAGCATGATTTTTCATGTTTACAAGTTTTAAAGTCCCTGGCTGAATTGGAGAATATCCATATAACAACAGTAAAAGCAATCAGAGAGGTGATCTTTCCAACTTGAAAGTTCTAATATTCTGAAATATAACGAAAATTGTTACCTCTAAGCTACTGGGTCAGATTGCTAAAGTTCCAGCAAGTCATGCCAGAAACTGGTCATCCAGATTATGAGATTCTTGTATGCATATTGCTAAATAAAAGTACAAAGCTAGTCCAAATTTATAAGGATGACAACATAAGTAACTTTTGGTTTCTGAAAATGCTATGATCACCAGTGCCACTGGAACTGGTAAACTGGTTCTGCGTTTTTACCTCTTGCAAACCTTCTTTTTCGTTTTTCAGTAGTTTCTTGTTTGAAACCGCCCTTTTTTCCTCGTTCGATTTTCATATGCAGTCTTAACTTTGCTTGACTAATTGCGTCAGAATCAGAGCTCAAAGAAATAAGTGTAAAGAAGACAAAACAAAACTATTATAAATGATTGAACTTATGAGCATGATCAATATTTGTAATTTTAGTGATGCTTATTATTTGTCTTATGACTTATGGTCCTTACTTCTCTTGGTCCTTTTCGTTCATGTTACCTAATTGTATAGTTTATTTGTCTGCCTATGGATATGAATAACCAGTTACAGTAAGTTTGATAGTGGACATCTTGATGCTTCTTTTTGCTTGCAAAATGAAAAAGTAAAGGAATTCGTAATGACTTTTTTCTTGTGGTTTTTTAGTCTTCAGTTGCAGCTACACTCTTACTTCAAGTTCAATATTTGATCTCTTGAAGAATCATAAGTTGCAACTTAAGGTATTTGTTTTGCAGGTTTTTGGTACTTTTTGTTGTGTTTTAGTTTTCATCTTTTACGTTAATGTATTGTGTAAAACCGGGGTCTTATCGTCTCACTTTGCCCCCTTTTCGTCTTTTCGTTTTTTTACATACTGCCATACTTCTCTTTTAAAAAAAATAAATGATAAAAGCCCTGGCTGATTAATCCTGGGTCTGTCCTGGTATCCGTTCAAACATCAATTTTCACTTTTGTATCAGAAATCAGAAACGTCAACTGCACACTCATGAAGCGTCTCTTGTGGAACTCCATTACCACTTTGAGATTCTATTCATCGTCGTCACAAAATGTGCTCAAAACTGGACACGTTCTAAAGCAAGCCAGGATATTTTCAAATTCCGACATTATCGAATATTCAAAGTTGACAAATGACTCCAATCCATTGCATTTTGATCTTGAGCGACCCAAAAATGTTGGTTTTGCTGATCTTCCAGTACCCGGAATGCTCATAGCCTCTTTGTTTCCTTGGATCATTGCTTCCGATTTCGTAAGTAGTCCTCTGTTCTTTACCTATCACCCTGAACCCCGAAATATTATTTTTGCACTTCACTTAATTGTAAGTCAGTCCAATGCATTGCTCAATCATTGACGGAACATTATCCTTCTTATATGTTATGTGTACTAGACACGTGTAACATACATTTATACACTGCAATTTTGTAGCCAGGGGCTGTTTATGTGAAGCAAACTTTGGAATTCAGGTCACCTGTGTATTGTGGGGAAGAGATCACTGGGGAAGTGCATGCTAGCAATATTAGACAAATGAAAGAGAAATATATGTTAGTACTTTGTCTACTTGCCTTACCATCCTAAAATTTTAGATCTTATTGCATTTTGTACATGTTTTTTTAGGGCAAAATTCATTACAAAATGCTTCAAAGATGGAGGAGTCCTTGTAATTGACGGTGAGGCAACAGCAATATTGCCTACTCTGGCCATGAAACAAACTTGAGGGACGCTGAGACTTAGAACAAACCCTATCTATACGGGGAATGTGCACCATTTTCCAGTCCATTTTTCTTGACAATGCTGTCTATATCTTTTTAATATTGCAGCAAGTAGGTGCCCAATGGAAATTGCCAAATCAGTTTGACAAAGTCCGAATTTTTTGAAAGCATTATTAATTTAACAGTCTATTGAAGCGTTGAAGATGCTCTAGCAAGTTGAAGGGCATGGACTGAGGGTGGTTTTGGGGTTGGCTGGAGCAGGGAGCGGTAGTGTAGGTTATGCTAATTTTCTTTTTTCCTTCTTGTTATTTTCTTTTACTTTTTCTTTTTCTTTTATTATTTATTTAAGTGAATATAAGTTTATAATCATCTTTTCAATTAAAAAAAAGTTAAAATTTTCATGGTCAAATGAATGTAATCCATCTATTGAGAATCTGAGATCCAACTATGTTACAAAACCAGAAGGCCGAGATACTGTTTCCAAGAAAGATAGGATAGGGACTACGTCGCAACATAATTGATAGGTTGGGACATAATTGTATACTTTTTTTCTTATATAGTGGGAAGAAAGATCTGTGATGGATATGTTTGGTGTATTAAACTCGACATAATAAGGACAAGCATTTCACAAGCGACTTTACATTAGTCTAGTTCGGTCTTTTGTCATGAAACTCGAACTAGTTTGAAGTTTCCATTATATATATTACTTTGCTAAACCATAGCGGGGGCCGCTGCTGCAAAAAGTTTCATATACAATCTTGATAATTTTGCATTGATCCAGAATTTCTCAATGTAATTGGTTTTGATAAACAAAAAGTTACAAATTTATGATCAAGGCATTCGCTTGCTGCACAAGCTAACATATGTGAAGAAGAATTAAATTATTCAGAATGAAACGAGATTAAATTGCATCAGCAGGTGCAAACAATTGAGAGCAGCAGCAGAGAAAAACTTGCAGGTGTTGAATGGCTTCCTGATGCTACAGAAATAAACTGGTTGCATATGATCAATTACCTATTACCATTCTGTCAATTGAAATCATCTGGTGATTCCAAATGCACATCTGGAGTAACCAGCCACTTCTTCTTTTTCGTCTTCAATGTCGGACAATCTGAATAATAATAATGTAACACATGAATGCACTTTTTAATTCTTGAACAATTGGAATGGGATCTAATATATTAGAGCTTAATCTTTTGTTCATAGATGAATTTAAAAATAATCATAAATCCCAAGCAGTGAGAAACTTCGGTCTCGTGCAGTAGAAAGTTCTTCAAAGAAATCATAATGCCAGATGTGTATTTATAGATGCAATTTTACAAGTGATCTTAATATCTTGTGGTAGGGTATAAGGGGCAAATCACGGGATTGAAAGATGAGCTCAACCTCACAGTTTCATGTTTTCTGTTAAATATTTATTCTAACCTTGGTATTGAAAAGAGTTTCAGCAAGTAGTACTGTGCAGGAAATTATTTTGATTGATGAAGTTGATAATTACCTCCTTCGGGATATATTGAGTTGTAATGAACCTCAGCCCAAAAGCTCAAGAAAATAACTGCACGTCAACATAACCCAGTGGGATACCATACAAGTTTAAGTCAACGAAACGGGGACAGGAAAATGAATTAAAAGATATATGCAAGTTTCTTTCTTTGGGCCATGTGGACATATAACTGAGAGAAAAGTGTGTTGTCAACGTCAAGATAAATATGGAAGCTGGTAAAGAAAGAAGATAGTAACAGGGTGCATATAAGCTGCATTATATATGAAGATATATTTTGATAGTCGAGTGAAAAAGTACCTCGTTCAGACTTTTGAATGTTTGGGAGTATCTCAATGTAACAGGTGTCCTCAAATGATGTTATGACAAGTATTTTTACACCATACTGCAGCAAGTCATTAGTAATTATCAGACTGCAAGAATTAGTTTTTGCAAAAGATCCAAATGGCCAATGTCATAACTTTCGAGTCAATAAATAAAGATCTTGATTCGTATAATGTCATTTTTGGATTCATTTTTAGATGATGAAATTACCACAAACCATATGTATCAACAAGCATACCAAATCCACTTGTGCTTTTATCTTTTTGAGGGGGGTGGGAGGATAGTTAAGAGATTATGAAAAACTATTGACACTTCAGTTTCTACAACCTACTCTGTTTTTAGCCAAACTTTTGCTTAATGTTCAACTCTTGGTATAGCACATCAAAGGACAACTTTTTCTCGGCTAGTATAATCAAGTTTTTGTTAAGGGCTAACACCGGCAAGTGGGGAGCTCAGCGGTCAGAACTCCAAGCAACATGAGCGAAATCTTTTTGGTCCTTGTGGACTTTGACATCCAAAAAATTAATGAAACTTTCAACCAAATATCATATCATTAGTAGGTATAACAATAATCTTCCACCGAGCAATGCAAATCACAATACAACCATATATTGTTGCTCATTCACTCAAGCAGTAACTTGTTAGAAATTCCATATCTACTTCCTCGTTACTCCTCAACCTCCCGTGTCAAATCCCTTATTCCTTCCATCTCGTTCGAATATATTTTAATCCCTTAACCTATCCATCTCAAATATATTCTAAGGATGATGCACGATGAAGAGCAGAAAAAAATAAAGAGTATCAGAATAACAAATGGACCGCCAAATACTGAGAAATAATTTGAAGGTTCAATCATAGGAGTAAAATGCCGAAAAACGAAAGCAGAGAAAACTATTGTAGTCATGAAACGAGGCCAAGGAAGACAAGTAAACCATACCGAATCTGCAGCAGCCTGCAAAGTGACATGATCACCCCATTCGCCACTCCTAATTTCCATCCAAATCATGTTTAAATTACAGTAAATAGACAACCAGTAACCATCAGATAATGGAGAGTAGAGACATACTTGGACATCTTTTTCAAATATTGGTCGTAAGCCATCGGTACGTATCCCTCGTATATCTCTGGGCAAGACGAGAGCTGAAATCCAAATCGTTGCCAAGCGATAAATATCAATTAAAACAACACTAAGCAATGATTATAAGAAGAATGTGCACTCGAGGGAAGTGCCTACCTGATTTACTACTTGTTGTCGCACAAATTTGTGATGCTCAGGAGTACGGTAAAATTGATCTGATAGAGCTCTAAACTGGAAAGAAATTTATTTCCAATCAGAATTCGTAGTAAGTTAACTAGGCTAAGTGATTGCTGAATAATGATCAAAGCATAATGCCTAGTGCAAGTGAAACTTCTAGCTTTTGAACACAATGTGTAAAAAGGTACTAGTCGAATGTTACTTATCTATTCTTTAGCTTTACTTATTTTCATCAAAAACTATTCTTTATTTTTGTAAATATACTGATCATTAGAAAGTAGACTTTTCCAGACTAAACTCAGAAAACACAAATACATTCATGACACAACGTTCCCAATTCTCTAGTTTCCGGCATTATGTCAATATCTCCGGTTAGATATCTGAAAACACAAAGAAATAAAGAAAGCTCCGCATTTTCAGAAACATGGTTAAAATGGAAAATATCACTAATATACGGAAACCAATTCTACAAGTTTTCTTGCTATATTAGGTCTTCAACCCATGTTAATAACATGACAATACAAACAGCACATCAAATTTTTGAAACTCAAAAAAAGTATGTGGCATGCTTGAATAAAACTTGAGTTTCTTTCAGATATTCAGTTGTGAAGTCAGCAAGCACACGTACAGTCATATCATTTTGATTAACTTTCTTGATATGTTCGGTCAACACAAATTTTAGAATCCATCAATCACATGATCTGAATGATTTATTCACCGAGTCAATACCTTAGGGTTCATCCCCCGGGGGGGGGGGGGGGGGGAAGGAGAGAGAAGTATAAAAAAAAGTAACCTGGCAGTTACCATCGCCTCGAACCTTAAATTCTACCAGCTCATACACCAGTAATCTACAAAAGAGAACAATAATTGAGTAAATGTTTGTAAATATAATATTAATTATGCCACCTACGCAGCAATCTATGTAATTAACAGAAGTGATACAGTACTCTTTTCTCATAGAAAACGAAAAACCATCAAATGAAGATAAACATTGCAAAGATATCGTCTACCATAGGATGTCATTGAGAACAATCAGCATTTCTCCAAGAACTATTAGCTTCGGTGGCATTTTTTTATGTCTAAAGTTCTCAGTTCACATGCTCATTGCCACAAATCTGTTAAGTAGTCGCCAACATTGTGATAATCATTTCTTTAAATGTTCATCATGTCAAGAAACAGAATTCCAGTACCTGTCTAGAAGCCTTTGATGATCTAAAGTTGCTTTATCAATTGAGGGTATTTCACCATTAATTCTAGGAATATGCTGCAAAATGACAAAAAAAGTTGAGGAGAAAGAATAAAGTCCAATTGTATATTTTGGCATCAAAGTAAGTGACCACGCCTTCACATTTATCAACCATTCAGGTGTAATAATTTAGGAAGCCTAGTAGAAATGCGTTCTCATTACAATAATGATGTATGAATCTGTAAGACTAAATGCAATTTTTGTAATCTTGATTATAAAATTTGCAAATTGCAGTAAATATATTATCTATGCAACAACATCAACAAGATAAGCATTATTCCTAATAATCTTAGAATTGGTTACATGATGCTTTTTCGCCACATGCAATGAGAATTAATACACTGATCTCTATTACAGAATACAAGACTCAAAGTTTAGACATCCAAAAATGAAACCACCTATTTGTCCATCTCTTAATAAAATTCTCTCTCCTCTCGTGGTTTCTTTGTCTCAAACTTCTCTATGATGAGTCTTAGTCGCTGCCTCTGGTCCATTCCTTCACTTGCTTGAGATTGTTCATGGAATAAATTTTGTTTGTGCTTGTTCATAATTCTATAAAACACAACAGTCGTAGAATTTACCAGACAAGTCATGCAATGAGATAAAGAAATAACCACCTCAACATTAATGAAACTCAGAATGACAGGATGAGCAAGTTATCAACTATTACATAGTAATACTAAAGCAACAATAACTCTAACATGGAATAGAAAGCATAGTAGCAGAGTGCAACAGCTCATGTACTAAAAGCTTTTAAATTGACATGCAACACCATATTAAATTCATTTTTTAAATGTCCTAGGGAAATTAATGAGAAGGGGGGCATTGATCTCGATGACAAAGATACACTTACAGGAATAGGAATCATCTGGTTCAATCTTTTGCCTAATTCACCATCCAAAGCATTCCCATCCATTAGGTCTAGTGAATATGACCACTCCTCCCCACAATATGACTCTCCTCCTGGGCTAGAATAAGAAGCAGATACTTCCAAATCAGTTGCTTCTTCTTCGCAATTCCCATTTCCTACAAGTTGTTCAGCAAATAATCAAAACGTAGGCAAGATGATGATACAATTTAAGAAATCAAATAATCTGTCAGGAATTTGTGACACTATCAATACCAAAGGTGTAGTTTCCCGGTGACTGAGTAAACCAATTTGGAGAATACAAAGATGTTTGCGAATGGTCTACACCCTCCTGGAAAGATTTAGATTGTTCTGCAACGGAAAGTTGTAATAGTTCTTCCTGTAGACAGTTAAATGAGAAATCATGGTTTTCTGCATTACTAGATTCTGAGCCACAGTTATATTCTTTAAGGTAGTCCCCAGGACAATAGTCTGTATTTTGTTGCAAAATGGAACCACAGCCTCCATAATTAGGATATGGATCAGTGTCGAAAAGCTGGAGACCCCATCGCACAACATCAGGATCTTGCTCGTACGTAATCATTATAATACCAAGGGTCTAAATTGGAGTATGCCTGACTCAACAAGTACCAAGTCTCATAGCTGCCAAAGAATGGATAGAATTATTCCGATGGAAAACATTAAACTTGATTGGTACTGGGAAAAGCATTTTATCTAGCTTCCACCTGAGTGGAGAGAAATATTAGGCATTTACCGCAGTGCCACATATCAGAAGTTGACCAATGCACTCCAAGCATATAAGAATTCACCTTTTTTTATTGAACTTTTCCAACTAGAGTAACAGTATCCTAACTTCCAAATCAGCTAAAGGAAATCACTAGAAAGCAGTTTTTGCCACATATGTATCAAAGTTTAAGAGGATGCACAATTATTTATATACACATCTATCCATTTTCTAAAGGAAATTTATTTTCGGAGAATATAACTACAATGAAGAGACCACCTACACAAACATATAAACTAGGTGATTAATGTTAATGTAGGCACATGGTACACGTGCTGCTAAAAACATTGAGAAGTCTAGTGAAGTTCAGAGAATCATGGTGACAACAATGGCAAAAGCATGCACTTAAATTCTTCAATACGTTGATTAAATAAAAGACCTAGAGACGTAGTCATGAAAATAAATACTAAAACATTAAATATCAAAATATGAAAGAAAAGCATATGTCTTCATTGAAATAGGGAAAGGTTTGGTATTAACATAGTAGTTTCTCAGTTCCAACAATCTTATGGTAATCCACCTTCAGTTTTCCTCCAAAATGAATGATTTAGAATTGAACATAGACAGCCTTATTCGACCAATGAAGTGACAGTTATGCCTCCAAGCAATTCATTGGAGAGTTCTACGCACGGGTAGGCCCCACCAATAAGAATGCACACACAACTATTTATCACATTCTTTTAATCATTAAATTCTTTAAAAGTAGAAACCGAGGATAACCAATTGTTCCTTTGCTCTCAATGATTAACTAATTATTCTTTTGCTCTCAATTATTAACCATTTCACACGCATAAGTTCCAATTCACGATACTGGTCACCTCTAGCAACTTCTTAAAATTAGATTCAACCAAAACAATTCGGGAACTGATTAATTCATTACGAATGCTTCATTAATCATATGATGGATTACTAGATAATGATGAACTTCCATTTCTAGCAAATACAATCCTGTGGCTCTATGATCTAAAACAACAGTTTCAAACTCAATCTAAAATGGCTAAAGAAAAAACGAAACAAAACAAAAGTTAAAGTACTACATTTAACCGAATTAAACGAACAAATCACACGCCATCTCCAACCGCACACACATTCCGCATGTTGTGACATTAGATCAGTCTGCTAATCTAACCATGATATCATCAGCATATAACAATCGAATCAAGTTTCAGAATGGAAAGGAAACAGAAATCAGAACACACTAAAATCGTCATAAACAAACAAGACGATCTACGCTACTGATTTTAATTCAGCACAAGAATTCAACAATGCTGAACAAAACCTACCTTGAATTCTCAAATTCCGATCAATATTGAATCACCAAATTTCCTCTCCACATCATAGCCATTTGATATATAGATACAAATAGATAAACAGATAGCGGTGTGTGAGAAATGTAACGCTTTGGTGACGCGACAAATGAAAAATGTGAATGCTGAGAATAGAGAGAGGATTATGGGTATTAATTTAAGTTGAAATTAAAATAATAATAATAATAATTGAATTGAGAATGAAAATGTCGTGAATTACTGGGTTGGGGTTGGGGTTGGGGTTGGGGCGGGGTGTCATATCACGAGGTGAGTCACAGTTTTTGTACAATCAAAATGTGAAAAAGGAGAAAACGGACAATGGAATTGGAATCTCACTCTGATTAACACTCCCCCAGTGCTTCTGCAGACAGACGACGATTCCTCTCCGTTTGTCGTTTTCTAGTCATTGTTTGTTTCAATAAAATTAAATATGATCCATTTTAAAACTAAGAAATAAGGTTTTAAATTTCAAAAATAAGATATTAATTAATTTTAATTTATAAAATAATTAATCAAAAATATATTTTATTAATTAAACGCATTAAAGTCACAATTCTATATTGTTTGATCACAAATCATCGAATTAATTGATACAAATTATTTTTCGATCACTGATAAAAAATTTTAGAAGTCAAAAATTATTTTATAGTCGTAAATCAAAAATTTCATATGTCACAATTTATTTATCGATCACAAATCAAAAAAATTTATAGGTCACAATTTATCTATCGATCACAATTACAAATTTTATAAATCATGACTTACATTTTTAGGTTACATTATTTATTGGTCACAAAATGTCAAGTTTATTGGTCACAAAATCTCAAATTATTAGTTATAATTTAGCCAATTTATAGTTGGGGAATGTACAAAATTGTCACCAGAAATGAAAGTTAAAAAAAAAAATGTCATTTTCACTTTTTGTGAGCAAAAATGTCACATTTTTGGGGTGCAAAGTCCAAAATACCCTTAATCACACATTTCTAGTAGCATTAAATGCTTGATGTGAAGGAAAAGCATTGAGTTGATAAAAAACATGGATAAATGTGTATTTTATTGATTAATTTTGTTAATAAAAAATTACCAAATAAATTAGAAAACGAAATAAAAACAAGAAACCCGACCTCTTTTCCATCTTCTTCATTTTCATTGATCAAGAAGACATTTGTGTTGTATTCTACATCCACTTTGAGAGGTTAGTAATTACAAATTAATTTATATTACTTTTATAACTTTGTATTTGTACATTTTAAATACAACATGGGCATATTTATTTGAAATTACTTTGAAAGTATTATGCATTCATTTGTTTGATTTTTTTTGAATCCTTAATAAAATGCCATTATCACCATTGAGTAATTTCTTCCATTACCACCATTAAAGTCTCTTTAATGACAAGGCCAATATGCCATTTTCATTATGTCATTTGGTAGGTGAATAATAATGACCACACTTAATATGATGTGTTGAAGAAACCTCAGAAATTCACTGCCGTCTGCTTCCCGACATTCTCGACAGTTAAACTGTCGAGTTCGACATTTACAAATCGTCGGGTTAGACGTTTGAGATGTCGAACCTGACATTTCGAAACTGCCGAGTTATAGAATATTACTTTCAATTTGGATACTTCAAAACGATACAAACCCTTGATTTGAACTTTTGTTATTGTACTGATTTACGTATTATGAAGTGTGAGTTTCATGCTATTAAATGCCAACATATTGATTCCGAATTGTTACCATTGCAATCCCAACATTTCAGGTATGAATAATCATTTGAGATTCGTCGTGTCGCATGGGGGAAATTTTGTTCATGCGGATGACGAATGGAAGTGGAGAGGGGACAAAACTACTTCCATTCTGGTGCCAAGAAGTATTACCGTAGCCGAACTTATGTTAAGGTTGAAGGAGAAACTTGGTATTCTTGATCCCCGTACTGAAATTGAATTGAAGTTCAAAGTCCCTAACTTGAATATACCTCCGGCTGAAATATGCGACAATGAAGACTTAAATTGGTACGTATCCGTGCATAAGGAAAGTGCTATTTGCGTTACTGTTTTGGAATCCGATCTCCCAAGTGTTGACATGGGAAGGGACGCAAATTTTGAAGATCCTTCGTTTGTCGCGGTAGATGTTCAGCAAAATGTGGAACATGATTTGGTGAATCGAATGCATAGTGTCTCAAACAATAATGCACTTGAAATACATGAGTATGATAACGGGAGTACACCATTAGATGAGAACTTGGATAACCCATCACCTAGTTTAGAGGCTGCTAATTCTGTTGACGTCGAGGACGAGCACTCTTTGTCACATTCGAACGATTCGGATGGATATGAATTTATGAGAACTGTGACTACATCCGATCTTGTCGAAAAGGAAATATTCTTCAGCAAGAAAGAGTTGTACTCAAAAATTCATGCAGTTGCTTTGAAAAACAAGTTCCAATTTCGGGTGAGCCGGTCAAGCATGAAGATGTTAACCGTTGTATGCGCCGACCGCAGTTGCAAGTGGATGTTACGTGCTTCTACTGTGAGGCAGTCTGCAATCTTTGTGATCCGTAAATTCAATAATGTGCACACATGTTCCATTGAGTTTCGCATTAATACGCATCGACATGTGATGAGTGCTGTAATTGCTGAGCATATTTTCGAAAAATTGGATAATCCGAACCGATCGTATGATCCGAGCACTATTGCACGTGACATGGAACGTGAGCTCGGTGTCCAAATAAGTTACAGCAAGGCACGTAGGGGAAAGGTGGCCGCTTTACATATGCTGCATGGGACACCGGAGGTCAGTTTTCAGAAATTATCTTCATACTATCACGTACTAGGTGAGAATAACCCGGGGACGGTAACCCACATCGAACTTGATTCTGGCGATAGATTCCATTACTTCTTCCTAGCTTTTGGTGCAAGCATTCGTGGTTACATGCAGTACTTGAGGCCCGTAGTTTGCGTTGACGGTAGTCACTTGAAAGGTCTATACAAGGGTACACTTTTACTGGCAACTGCCCAAGATGCGAACAAACAGATTTATCCGTTAGCGTGGGGAATTGTGGATTCCAAAACGAACCGATCTTGGATGTGGTTTATGTCTAACTTGAAAGATCTTATAGGAGACTCAGATGTACTTGTATTTGTTTCGGACAGGAAAAGAAGTATCGAAAGAGCTATTACTCACTTATTTCCTTTGTCTCGTCATTGTTGTTGTATGTGGCATGTGGAGAAAAACCTAATTCGGCGGCACTGTAACGCAAGTTCAATATTCCTGTTCAAACGAGCTGCTACGACTTATCAGGTCGAAGAGTTCGAACGACTAATGGGACAGATTCGTAGGGTGAGTGAAAGATGTTACAGGTATTTGGAGAAAGCCGGTTTTTCATTCTGGTCACGAGCACTATTCGTGGGAGACCGATACAACATTATGACAAACAACAACGCGGAATCATTGAACTCGATGCTGAGACATGCTCGTTCTTTGCCAATCACGTGTTTGGTCGAGCACATTCGTAAAACAATGCAGAGGTGGTTTTACGAACGTCGAAGCAATGCAACCGCATGTAGTACTATATTATCGTCGAGGATGGAGAACGAGTTACAAACAACATTTGAAGCTGACGCGACGTAAGCGAGCTAGATACGAGTCCACTTCCCAACTGAGGAAATGCACTCGATGTGGGAGACTTGGTCATAACCGGACCACATGTTCGAACCCTATTGTATCACAAGCCACTTGAAGAAGCGTGATCCGTAAAAGTGGTTGTCAAATGTAATCCCCGAAAAACTTAATTTAAATATGCATTGTACATTCCGAACTTATTTTATGAATCTGTAATTATTATCGTATGCCAGTGCAAATTTGGTCGTTATGTTCCGCAAGCAAAGTACCGATCATTACAGTTCCATTATCACGAATGAGATGAATACCTTCTTCGTACTATAAACTTAGCAGATCATAGAAGTTTCATTAGCTTCGACTGACAGTTCGTCGAAGTGGAAAACTGATTTTCATGAGACCATACTGAACAAACAAAACACCAACAGTACGTCTCGACAGTTCATATGTCGTTCCCGACAGATAGTCTCTGTAATTCTTGACAGTTGGGAACAACAGCGGCTTGAAAACCTACACTGCTGCGGTTGCCTATTATGGAGATGCAGTTTCTGCACGTATCCAGCGAACGTGACCGAAATCATCCATACCACAAAATAGTAAACATATTTTCGTACAAAAGGGCCATTTATTGCACAGTTGCACTGTTTTTGACAATGTAAGAAGCTCTCCCACTTTCCCCATCAGACTCGTCTGAGCTAATGACAATTACATCTGGAGGTGGAACATGAGGCACCCACTCATTCGAGTCGGACGGTGACTTGACCGGGCCCCAAACCTCGAAGAGTTGATCGAGAACGCTGTTCGGTGACTTAGATTCTGCACTTGACACTACGTCAAACTCGGCACCATGCAGTTCAACTCTTACGTCCTCATCGTCTGACAACAAAACGATGGGAAACTCAGCGGATGAACCCAATATGGGTGGATGCATATTGGAGTTGAATGTTTCATTGCTAGAGGTGGATGAACCCATTATCTCGTATTAACTACCTGTTTCAAAATGGAAGCCTCACAACAGCTTTAATGACATACGAAATGTAATTTGATAGACACTGCTTGTAATGCATTCATTATGATAGTATAAATGTATTGGAAATACTTGTTACTTGCAAAAAATCAGAAATGTATAATATCTACAATAGCATGTTACACTAACACACTTGTATTGGACAATCCCACCATTTTCAATTATCGAAACGCAAGGAAGTTATAAAATTTAATGGCCCGCCTAGTTGAACTGTCGGGCCCGACAGATGTTTTCTTCCTTCTCAACAGTTGACGAAAACGTGCATTGCAGTAAAGATTGTATAATTTTGAATTTTGGTAAACTGCAGAATAAATGAAGAAGAATAAATGTACGCATACATAATTTTTTGCGCAATACAATGTACGAGCATTGATGAACATTGAATGAAGGGACTTAGTACCGTAAGTACGATTAACATAACATAATAAAGCCGGATAACTAATACAAGTTCTAACACTACAATAATTTCAGCAACGGTAAACGGTGACAAGGCATTCACCACGGGAATTGCAAAATGTGATGAATGCTTCTAAGTGTCACCAAGTGCCGGACGTCGCAGTCGTGCGGATCTCCGTCTATTTGTCGTAACTGCCCGTCCTGGTCGGGCAACATCGGCGGGAACTGGGAAAGTTACAACGTAAGCAACTGAAAATGAAAATTAAATTCAACTGTCCGAAATTAAGGCAATACCTTGCACTTCATCCACTGCAACAAGCGCTAGCACGAGGTCATTGTCAGGGCATGGCTCAATGTGTACTGTGTCTGTCGAAAAGAACAATTAAATATTTTCAGTGTATAACTACATGTACGAATTTTCAAATTATGCCAAGTACATGAAATAACAATCTACAGGTTTTCCTCATAAATGACCCACGTACCTTACAAATTTATGGTTCCTGTAGGCACCATGTCCTTCTCTTTTTCACAGTCGCCAGGCGACGGGTGGTGGGCCCCTTCGACTACAACAAATGAACAATTGTAAACTAATCGAATGCCTGAAATAATATTTGTTGAAATCGTGAAAAATAATGCAATACCTTGCACTTCTTCCATTGTAGAGGGCTCTGGCACGGGGCGATCCTCCGGGCACGGCTGAATGTGCGCTATGTCTATTCAGAATAACAACGAAAGAGCGAATGGAAAGTGAATTTTAAGAATTTTCAAAACTTCCGAAACACATGAAATGATAATTAATCAATTTGCTCAAAAGTAACCGACGTACCTTCCACACTTTCGGTTCCAGTGGCCAGTGGCATATCCTGCTCGTCCAGGTATGGCTCCATGTGTTCTTCATTAATGCACATACCGTCCCCCTCTTACCTGTCAATCCCCATGTCTTCGTCGATACCGTCAGGCGACGGGTGGTGGCCTGCAAAGCCTCCGTAGTCTACAATGAATGAACAATTGTCGTACAGAACATGTCAGTGAGCAGGGATAAAGTGAACATTGTCATAAAGAAATGTAATACGCATACGGTGAAGTACCTGATTGTCTGGGCTCGGGGTCGACATCAGTCGCACATGCAATGGTTGTAGAGCCGAATGCTGGGACGAGGGTGGATATGAAGTCCTTCAAGTTTTTAAATTCATCTGACATGTGCTGCATGAGTTCGAGCTTCACAGTGCGGAGCCGCATTTCGAACAGAATTCTTTGATCTAGCAACATCCCCTGAACATCGTCTGCTGTGAGACTTGATGCAGCCGCTGCAGTAGGTCGTACATGAGAGGTGGACGGTGCCATGGGAGAAGTAGCTCTATGCTGGTGGGGAGGGGGGGGAAGTCCCCGTCTGTCCACTTCGTCCAACTCGATCACCGTCACTATCCTCACTGTCGTCCTCCTCCGAGTCCCCACCTTCTTCCTCTCCGCTGTCATCGGCTCCTAACTCCTCCTCACCACTGGTCCCGCCACCGTCATGGGCCTCCGCAGAAGTATCACCCTCGGGGGTGCCTATATGCTCTGCTTGGAACTGCGGAGCAACACTGTCCCTAGCAAGGTCATCCAACGCGGGGACAGGATCATCATTGAGCAGCACAAGAGTGGCGATATGAGGTTGCTCACGCTCAGTCTCGGTGGGCCGCAGTGTCGCGTACACGTGTAGCTACAACATGAACATATTCGTTACGAAATAACCACATGCTACAATGACGACTGGAAGGTATGAGATCGTAGAAGTAACATAATTTTTTACCTGTACATTCTTGAAGAAAGCGTCGTACGTACGCTGCTACGGCTATTTTGTTGATGTCCAGCCGAGAAGCCATGGGGAACGTTCCCCAAGACGCTCACCGAAGTGATCACCAATTTCAGGCACCGCCTCGAACGCCCATATCTGTTAGAGTAAAAAAGGAATGTTAGTTCAGAACGAAACCAACCACGAAATACATTTGCATTGAAATAATTTGTAGGTAAAATAAAGACACCTGTATGGCAATGGGAAAGTCGTGGACCGTGTAGCTAACCGCCTTCTCCTTCTTCTTCGACGCATCCAAAAATTTTCTTGCCCAACGGCCCCGAAAGCCCTTTATCAGACGTCCGTACGAGATTCTACCCCAAGGATACGAAAAGAACAAGTCTAGATCGTCGACGATCGACAACGTCTCCATATCGATACCAACGTTGTTATCCGGAGCATTGAAGACTCCTTCGATGATCAAAGCGAGGCCAAGCTTGTACCGATCGGCTCGAGGCGTTGACGATCGAAGAAATGTCTGCTCGAGTTGGGCGCAAGAAATCTTGTCCACATGTTTAAAGTATTTGTCCTTTAGTCTCCTCTTCTCAAGAACTCGGTCCATGACATTGTCATCCGGGAGAAGACCACACCTTAATCCAGTCACAATGGCATATTCTTGAATTTCGAACCTAGCGAGATGGCCTTGCAAATTAAACCACAGTTTGTGCCGCTTCTTTGTTTGTATGCAGCAGAATACGAGTTGTTGGATTAATTGGGCAGAGAACTGGAGATCTGGAACCTCGGACAAGAACCCGAGGCATGAGTTGCGAAACTCTTCCCGCTGTCGCTCGTCAAAATGTTCCACGACTGTTTTTATATACCGCAGATTGCTTCTCTGCGATATGTGGCCCCGCAAGCGTGCATTCTCTGGAACAAGAGGCTCGAAATCCATGTCTACAAAGACAAAATAAGAAAAAATTGCGTCAGACCACAATATAAACTTCCTCCCAGCATTGAAACGGAAGATATTCCCACATCTTCATCTGTCGAGAATTACAGAGGATAAGTGTCGGGTACGACAGTTGAGAAACAACTATGTATAGATGAACTGTCGGGAAATCTTGAAAAAATTGCGTCAGACCACAATATAAACTTCCTCCCAGCATTGAAACGGAAGATATTCCCACATCAAACATGATTTCCACATCATAAATTGTTGCATGCAAAAAATAAAAGGAATACTTATATCTGAACGCATATCACATAGAAATATCATTTTCTACTGGTAGGCCCTAGGCAGGCAGGAACTGAACTGTCGGTCCCGACATTTTATCCGTCGACGGTTCATCTGTCGAGAATTACAGAGGATAACTGTTGGGTACGACAGTTGAGAAACAACTATGGATAGATGAACTGTCGGGAAATCCTGTTTTGAATATGTTTCCTGGTTATTAACATATTTTGATCATACAAAACAAAAAATAACTGCAACTACAAAGAAAAGACCAATCTTTGAACCAATGGAATGAGTTGTTTACGGCTAATATGTAGAAATTTTCCACCCGAATATAACGAGTACCATCCACAACAAGTGGATTGCAAGTGAAAGCAAGGTTATGACATATGTAACATAAATATTGAAACGAAAGATATATCAAGTGTCAATCAAGATTTCCACCAAATGCATACAATGAGGATTACCCATTTTACTTCAAGTCACCCTTTACAAATTTGCTTATGTAAGATCGAAATTAATGCGAAACACACAGAGCTGAGGTAAGGACTGAATTGTCATTCCAGACATTTTAATAGACA